GTTGCTGTGGACACAGGTGCGCCGGTTGCTGTCGTTGCTACATTGATGCAAGCTGCTTGGCCCGACAGCTGGCAGGTTCTTTTCCAAATGGATTTATTCCATATTTGCCGGGCGTTGGGCTTATGTCGTTTTCCATTGTTTGCAACTTGCGGCGCGTTGTCTTCCCAACGAGACTGTTATCCTTTGTTGTCCGGGGGTGTAATCTTGCGCGAAAGCGCAGAAAGCAGCAACATATTGGAGGCGCTGGAGCCTGAGATCCTCGTCCAAATTCTGCACTACGCTCTCTCTCCGCAAACTTTCTGCTACACAACGCGCGTCTCCAATGAATTTTGCGAGCTAGTCCAATCACCGCATACTTGGCCCGGAAACTTGCGCCTCGCACCATGCACATGCCAGCGCCTCTGTGCGAACCTCTGTCTTCGAGCGGTTGTCCAGGCAGTGCCCCATTCATGTCCTTACTCCCCTGTTGCCCATTTGACTTTCGCGCTCGTGCCGCGGCCCCGCAATCCATTGTGGTCCTGGCATCACTACCATGCTGAGCCTCATGGCGCCAATTTCTGGTTCACGAGTTCTGCTTCTCCTTCACCGCCGGTGTTCGCTTTGAATTTATCTTTTGCACGCTGTGCTGGTTTGGCGGAGTGCCCGGACTTGGAATTGCTTCTAGGGGTTTTTGCTTCCGGCTTTTCTTCTTTGCAGGGTTTGCTTCACTTGAGCACCTTCCCCCCCGACGCCCGCAATGTGGCTGCTGCGAAGCTCAACATCAATTCCGGCCAGTGCTGCTCCTTGGCCTCTTTCCTCACACATGACAGTTTCCAAGCCAACTCATGTGATCTGTCGTTGGCCGGCATCGCTCCACAAAAGTTAACTTTTGCATGTCGCCAGCAAGACCAAATCTGCTGCCTGTTTGGCAATGACGGTTCTGTGCTGCTGCAGTGGCGCTGCGTCGGTTTGCCAAAGAACACGCCGTTAAACTGTTTCGTGGCGTTGCATTCTCCATCGGCTCCCCTGTCCAATTTGGCGCCCGCTCCGTCAAACGGCTTCCGGCGGCCGGTGCGGGTGACACAGGCGCGCTTGCATCAAGGGGTTGGCCTCGCTCGCGTGCTGCCGTGCCTGGACCTATGCGGGGGCTTCTGGGATCGACTGCCGCAGACTTGTCAGCACACAGTTTTGGCGTGTTTGTGTGCTCTTAACGATCTTGTGACGTTCCTACAAACGCACAGAGCCGCTTGTGCCTTTCTGATCGATGCGAGTCAGCACAATGCACTGGTCGCGTCTGTTTCCCCTTGCTGTTGCACGAGGCTGTGTTTGAACAAATGCATTGAAGCGCTGCTGTCCCAAGGTTTTCCGATCCACAAGAAGTTCCTTTTGGGGTGTTTCAACCCGCGCTCCTTCCCTCCTCTTCATCGAACATGGCAAACTTTCCACTCTGTTGACTTTCGCCACGTCGTTCGGATGGCTTCGCGCATTTCCCCTTCAGTTTCCACGGCCGTCATCGAGTTGTCGCCCGTGTTGCTCGGGCAGTCGCAGCTCTACTTGACAATAGGCATGAGCACGGGACCTCACCCTGCAGCAGTTGCTTGGCCACACCTCTTCAGCCTGCAGGCCCCATTTTCCCAACGCGGGCTTCAGCTGGAGATCCGAGATGGGCGTTGCAACGGCGCGCGCTGGTGCACAGAAGTCGAGCGAATGCAAATGCACGCGCTGCGCCCCATCGATTTTTCGCGATGTCAAACTTTCACCTTTGTATGCTCTCCTGCAAGTGTTGCGCTGTTTGATTCCCGTGGGGACTTGGTCTCGCTTTGTCCGCAGCCTTGGCCGGCCACAGAGTCGAATGAGCTGAAAGGCTTCATAGGCTTAAGGGGCGCCGCACCTTTGCCCCGCCCGGACCGGGACACCACAATTATTCAGCCAGTCTTGACTCAAGCTCGTCGCGAAGCCTTGCAGCTGCAGCCTCTGTGCTGCGTATCGTCGGGCCACATGTGTTGCACATTGGTCCCTTGACATTGACCGGCGGTGGCAAGGCGAGTGGATCCAAAGCCGGCAGCCGCCGCCCAACCGACCCGCGTTCCACCAAGGCTCACCGCCAAGACGTGGCCATGCCCAAACGGGCTTTGATCATCAAACGCAAGTGGGCCGAGCTCATTCTTTCAGGCGAAAAAACGTGGGAGGTTCGCGGGGAGCCGACCACGAAGCGGGGAAGGATTGCGATCGCACAAGCTGGTTCCAAACAATTGGTGGGGGAAGTCACCCTGGCCGAATGCTTTCTCATCGGTGAGCAACCTTCACCTGGCGTTTGGGTTTCCACGGGCCCTCCTTCGCAGTACATTTGGGCACCCGACAACGCAAACAAGCATTGCATTACTGACCAATCGTCGGTGAACTACAAGAAAGCCTATGCGTGGGTCATGGAACATGCGCGCAAGTATCCTGCGCCGCGGCCGTACACCCACAAACCAGGCTGCATGAAGTGGGTTAAGCTGGATGGCGGTAGTGTGGCCCAATTTTCAGCCGGCGCAACCAGCGCGGCAGGCAACCCTTTGTGGTGCGACGCAGTGGATTCCGACTCCACTGGATCTGTTTCTGTCACCTCGGCCGCTGCTTCCGCTCCAGTGGTATTTTGCGACGATCATTTCCATTTTGAGTCTTCGCCAAGCCGGCTGCTTTCCCCGAATCGAACGCCCGCTTCGACATTGCTCGGCGCCAGTTACCCCGGTTCTCCGCGCCTGCGTGCTCCTCACAGTCCAACTGTTACTGTTGGGGAGGTTCCGGCGATTTCACTGTCAGCGGCCCTCCTTCGTGACGATGCTTCTGATTCTAGTTCTGATGCCTGGGCAGACACGTTTTTGGCTTTTCTTTCTTCCAACTGCAGAGCTTCCTCGTTCTTTCAGGCGTTGCAAAACGCGTGTGGCTTGCGTTCTGCTTGCTTGGCAAAGACTTGCGCGCAGCTGGCTTTAACTTCGTCTGCGTGGCATTGCTTCTTCTCCCATCCAAAACGCTTTTCTTCTGAGCTTCCTTTCTCCTTCATTCAAGACGTCCACTCCCACCTTTCGTGTGCGCCGCTACTGCTTTGGATCCTTCCGGCCGGTGATCTGCTTCTCTTGTCGGATGGTTCGAGCCGTATGAAGGCAGTGTTGTGGATTTTCCAACGATTGTTTTCAACTCTACCAATGCTTGGTTCTTTCCCGTGGTGATGACATTGCGCCCCATTGTTGTCCCAGCGTTGAGCTCTTGTCCCGCAGTCGGATATCTGCACCTTCTCCCCACGCTTCTACCTCCGACGGAAAACCTTTTCCATTGCTTCAAAACTACGCGCTTGGAATGCGTAGGTCACTTGGAGACGCTGCGTGACACAGTAGCGTTGTCCATTTGCCCTTGCATCCTGGAAATGGGCCAGCATCTTTGTGGTCGGGGGCTCTCGCAGCTTGCTCTTGTGTTGGCTCCTGCAGAGCCTGTAGACCTTTTGATCCTGGACAGCAACAGTTGTTTGTTCCACGTCTCCAGCTTCCACACCTTCCAGCGAATTGAATGGGGCGCCGCATTGCTCCGGCTTAAGAACCCAAATTGTTTCCTGTTCGTTTTCATCCATTCGACCAAGCATTTTTTGCAAGCGCTCTTGCGCGTTCCAGGTTCCACTGGTCACGCCGAGGCTTGGCTAGGCCGGGCGCAGCCCACGGCTCATGCAGCGTGCGTGGCGACCGTTCCATTGAACCTGGCAGAACCCACGCTCACCGAGCGGCTCAGCCGTGAAGCGCTGACAGTTTTTACGCCATGCGAGTTACTCACTTCCTCGCCAGACGCTGCCAGTTGCACAGCGGGTGCGTCGGGCCCTGCGCAAATGGAAGACGACTCAGCCAATGCCTGTATAGCCTCGCCGGGCAATTTGCTTCGGGGTACACCTGAAGACTTCAACCGAGCTTTTGCAGACGTGTACCGCAAAGATCCAGAAAGAGCAAAGCTGATCTCTCGATACATCCTTGCCGACCTTGCCCCCTTCCCACATGAGCAGCTGAAAAATGCCTTGCCGGACGTCTATTCAATGACAGACAACCTTGCCCAAAAAGCGGGCTGCCCCTTTGAATGGGCTTTCCTCCTTTTTCTACCCGTTCTTGGCACTGCGTGCTCCAAAGCCAGGCTGTTCATCAACGAATTTTTCCTCGTGCCGCCGCTGCTTTGGTTGGGCTTATGCCTCGACAGCGGCGCCAACAAAAGCGGCATCATGACAGCCTTGGCAGACATCGTCTCTGGCTTTGAAAAGGAGTTGCTCCAAAAGGCGCTGGACGAAGCTCGTAAGGAAGCGCAGCTGGCAGAAGAGGAGGAGGATGCACACGGTGCGGAGCCAGATGAGCCTTCGTCAAAAAAACGCAAGACCTCCTTGTCGAAAGCATTGGCGGCCATCCACAACAACAAGCCCGCCTTGTTTTCCGACGAAGGCTCGTTGCCCGCCATTGGCATGCAAATGGCGCACAACGGGCACCGGGCTATTGGATTATATGATGAAGGCCGGTTCCTTCTCCGAGCGCTGGCCAACGGAGAAGGTTCCGGATTTAATGCCTCCACTATGTCCAAGCTCTTTAATGGCTCCATTTGGAAAAGGACGGTTGTGAAGGATAACAACCGCTTCTCCATGCACCAGACATGCCTTTGTTTAGCAATGACTTTCCATGTCGAGGAATGGCATGACTTTCTGGCCAAAGATGGTGCCTTGGGCATGCAAAGTCGGTTTCTCATGTTTCACAGCAGCCCCCGCCTCGAGAAAGCAGACGCAGTCCTCGAACCTGCGGTGTATTCCACGGGGGCTGCGCGCTCTCGAGGTGCGCCGGTCCTTCCAGCTTCATTGCTCACCCAGTTTGTTTCTGTCCTCACAAGAATCGAAAACGTTCACACTGCAAATGCTCCTGATTTTGATGCGTCGCGGGAATTCATTCCATATTTCTTTGCCCCCGATGCCTTGGATTATTTTCGAGAGCACTACGACGCCCAAGTTCTCACGCAAGAACAATCATACTTGCAGGACCCAAAGCTTTTCAGCCATGCCGGCAAACTGAAATCACTTCCCTGGCGTTTGGCTCTGTTGTTGCATTCTTGGGCGCGTGCGTGTTCTGCCGCCGATCAGTCAGGCACGGCTTGGAGCAGAGAGCTTTCTCGCGAAGTCGTGGAGCCGGCTAAAGCTATTTTCGATTATTTGTCCTTGCAGTCTCAACTGCTCGCGCCGGGATCCAACCTCGTCAGCACCTTGGACACGCACGACTTGCGCGAGCTTGCTGCGCAGAGGTATCCGTATCTTATCACTTTGATCGAAACCGACCTCTCCCAACTGCTCGCGCAGAAGCTGCCCCTGCCAATTCGTTGCCGGATGCTAGCCCGTCTTTCACTGTTTGGTGGGAAGCCCTTTCCCCGGACAACAAACTCTATGCTTTCGTTGCTGCGCACTGGGTTCTCACGAGCGCAAGCACAATCATGGTTGACCAGGGGACCTTGCTGAAGAAACTTCATGCAAAAGACACAGGCGTGGCATTACCAAGAGATGCTGCCAAGCCATATTGCCAAAACGCGTTTTTGCTTCTGAAATATTGCCAGTTGGCAGCCTTGACCAGGACCTCCGAAAAGGCGGCTCACAGGCTGCGCAAAAGAAAGCCTCCGCAATGCCCAACTTCCCAAGTTGCATTTTCAAATTTGCTGCATCTTTTCCAGCACAAGCAGGCGAACAGCTTGGCGGAGTACGCAGAATCCTGCCTAACGGTGACCGCGTCTATCTCCAGTCTGTATGCTGCCGACTTGAAGGTCCTGTTGCCGCCCGATTTCGATGTCCCGCGCATGGAGCAGTGCTTGCAGCTGCTCACGCAATACGCCACTGACGCCCGCCCTTTCGAGCACAGTGCCAAAATTCTGAATGTCAAATCCCAGCGCGTGGCAGCCAAGCAGGTAGCGCCTAACAATCCTCCTCCTCCGCCTCCAGGAACCGAGATGTTAGCCGGGGCCACCCACAGCGACGCGTGCTCTTCGTTGATGTACCCAGGGTCCCTCAGTTTGTTGCCTGCTTTCGTTCTCGCGTTCCACCACGCGGATCCTGCATGTCGAGCGTCTGTGGCGCACGCATTGCTGCAACAACAATGTTTCCATCTTCACCTGTCTGAAAGGGACTGCGACTTTATTCTTGGCAAGCTTCTCCGACGTGCCCCGCATTGGCTTGGAGCTGAGTGCCACTTGCCAAAGCACATTCCCACGAGATGCGTTCAACCAGACGTGAAACATTGTCTGACGTGCCACGCACATCTCAAATGTGCCGCCGCTCGCGCAGTGCCTTGTGCGCTTGGCTTGCATTGCGTGGAACAGGTCCTGCTCCTCAGCTACTCTTGCTGCTCCTGCAGTCGCTCTTATTTTGGACCGTGGGTTGAGGGCAAAGATGCAACTGGTGCGCGGGCTAGGATGCTAGTGCAAGACAACCCACGCTACTTCTGCATCACGCAAAACATCGTCTTTGCGACAGCTTTCTTGGACCAAGTCACCGACATTCTGCTTCATTGCGGCGGTTCTTTCCGAGGCATTGTGAATGTGCTGCGGCCCAAGCTCCACATGAAAATTCGAACGCTGGAGAAGCATCTCCGCGATTCGTGGCTGCAATACTCCGTGTGCAAGTTTTTGACAAACAATCGCACTTCCATCAATTGCTTTGTCGGCAAGAATGGCATGGAACCCTGGTGCCGTGGACTCGAAGACCAGGTGCTTCACCAATTTCAGCGTCGCTGGCTCCTGCAACACCAGTGTTCCAAGTGCGAACGAGGCATTCTAGGCGTGGACGGCAATGCCAAAGTTCGTACCAAACTGTGCGCCAACACGGATGCGGGCGTATGGGATTGCAGGCCTCTGAACGCCCATTGCCTGACTGGATGCCAGAGTGCTCCCATTCCTGGTCGAAAATATTGCGCCGTGCACCTCCGAGATGCTGACCCGATTTTTGGTTGCGATCTCATTTTGCAAATGATCCTTTCCTTCCTCGCAACGACAGCAACCCTGCTTTCTCGCACCGAAGCTGGTCGCCACAAGTCGCCAGATATTGTCGCGCTTTTCCCGCTTTGTCGACGAACGCGGAAAGCGTTGAGTTTTGCTGTGAGCCACGCTAAGCTTCAATATCCAGTTTCGCTTCTTTCTGTCAAACGTATTCCGCGTTCGCGGCGGTATGCTTTCCAAACCAAGACAGGCCAAGCCTTTTTGCTATCAAGCGCCTTGGTTCCCACGCACTACCAACAGCAATATGGTCAATCCTTGTTGGAGCCCGTTTCACGAGAGTGCCAATCAAAGCCACGCGTCGGACATCAAGTCCAGTTCTCTGCGTCCGAGAAAAATGACGCGTGTCGCCGGCAATGGGAAAAATCTCGTGCAGCACGGCGCAGTGGGGGCGTTTTAGCCGCTGTCAAGGAATGCCAAATCATCAGCGCCATCAAGCTCGTGTACACCCACGAATCCCCAACAGGGGTCTACTTTTTCTTGGCTGAGCTGTTTGAGTTTCTGTCTGCCGGCCGCAATGTCAATTTGAAGACTGCCAAGCGGAAGACTCGCCTGCGAACACTTCAGCAAACCATGCCGCTGGTCTTTTACGATTGCGCGTGCACGTTGCAGCGCTTCATGGCTTCCAAGAAACGACGCCGCATGAGCAAAGTTGCTCGTACCCTCAGCCGGCTTCGCCTTGTCATCGACAAGTTCCATTTTCGCAAAGGGCACAGCGGCTGCAAGCCTGATGGCACTCGCCCGTTTCCCAAAACGTGGCCTCAGACGCATGCCTCGAGCTTCCCAACATTAATGACAGCGCAGCTGAACAATCTTTTGCGTTTGTTCGCAAAATTGCGGTGGCGGCGCGGCGCATGACCCCAGTGCGTGGCCTTCTCTTCCTTGCGTCATTGCTGCACGCTCGCAATGTACAACTCGAACTCATGGGGATCAAAAAGGCAGAACTGGCAGCGGCCAAGAAGCGAAAATTCATGGCGCGCCGCAACTTCCAGGATGCAGTGGAAACGCTGCCATTTCGACGACCAGCTTCGCAGCAGCTCTAAATCCATGCCGACCTCCTGCTGTTTCACCCGCTTTACAAAAAAAGCCGACAGAGTTCGAACCGCAGCAAAATGAAATTTTCGGCAGCGACTTTCGTGCGAAATGTGTCCTACTTGCCAACCTCTATGTCTCCTGTTCGATCTCCATTGCCAAAGTCCTCCATCTCAGCCATGACACCGTGCAATGTGTATCTGTACTGTCGTCTCTGTTTCTTCAACATGTTTTCCATCATCCACGAAACTAACATGCAGTTTGTGTCTTGTACCGAACCTCCACGGCATATGCACACTAACGACATTTGGTCTCTGAACTTGCCTTAGGTTGTAGCGTATCAAATCGTATTTAATCTTGTTACACTGCCTTGGTTTGCAGCTTTCGGTTTGCAGCGCCCAGTTTCCATAGACTCCAGTTCCCTTAGATATCTATTGAGTTCACCACAATGCAGACATGCACTTCCCATGCCCTATTTGAACATAGTCCAGTCCAAAGCACATGCTTCTACCTTAGCTAAAACACACACACACACATGGCATTTTGCCAATCGCAGCCTCACACAACCAGCGCTGCCCATCAGCACCTCTCTCCATGTGCCGTGCAACGAGTCGTCATCCGGCTGCAACGGGCTGCTGCTACGGAGCCGCTTGCCTTGCAGCTTAAGGTCGGGGGGTCGTCTGTACACGCGAAAACGGGTTCGTCTGTACACGCGAAGCGGGGGTCGTCTTTACACGTGAAACGAGGATCAGCTTCATGGACTTCATCTATTTCTTGTCCTCCTGTGCATCGTCTACACTAATCATATATATATATGTTTTTTATTTGCCTCCGCAACGCTTCGAAACCGCGAAGAGTTAGAAGAGATGTTACTTGTCAGGTTCACAGAAGATAATGACGCAGGTATGTGCCAGGTGGAGTATCGATTCTCGCCTGGTCCATGTTTTCACGGTTCGAATGTTTTTGGCACGATATATTTTCAAAGATTCTCATGCTTACATTTTGCCATTTTCATGGTTGCCCTTTACATTTTTACTCGTGACCGTTCTAACTTTACCGCTACGACGTTACAATTTGGGTGATGCAAGTTTACACTTGTTGGTTGAGGTCTATGTTTAGTGCTTGCATGGAACAAATTTCCTACTTAGACTTTGCATTTCCCATGGTTCCTTTTCGCATTTTAATGGTTCCGGTCTACATTTTTTAGCGGGACTTTCCCAAAAAGTTTTCTTCTGTCAATTTTTTCTTTGCTGTTTTGCTTTCTATTTTCCAGTGTTTTTCTTCAGGCTCTTTTTTCTTCCGTGGTCTTTTTTGCTCTCCTCTTCTCTTCAACTGCTTTTGTGTCCTTGCCACTTTCAATACTTACGTTTTCAGTTTTTGGCAGGTTAGCTGCTACTTGTAGTGCTTTGATCTTGCCTTTGGTTCTATTCTGTGTCTGGTGTTGCTGTTGCTTTTGTTTGTCTCGTGTTCTTGTCTTCGATTTTTTGTGTCCCTTGGTCGGCCGGTCGGCCGGTCAGCCGGTCAACCGGGCATTCCGCCGGTCAACCGGGCAACCGCCCCGGTCAGCCGGTCAACCGGGCAACCGGGCATTTCTTCCCCTAGTCGGCCGATCGGCCGGTCAGCCGGTCAACCGGGCATTCCGCCGGTCAACCGGGCAACCGCCCCGGTCAGCCGGTCAACCGGGCAACCGCCCCGGTCAGCCGGTCAACCGGGCAACCGGGCAACCGGGCAACCGGGGAGGGGAGGGGTCAACCGGGATCCGGTCAGCCGGTTGCCCGGTCCGGTCGGCCGGTTACCGCCATACTCCGAATTTGGCAGTCTGGCCCTGCTGGCCTTTTCTTTGTGTGGGCCCGCGGTGCCGTCCTGTCTTGGGACGGCACTGCTCGCAGTACTGTATGTGCTACCAGAACTGATGGCAAAGCAAGGCGCGCCATTGGATTCCTGTAATCACTCACGGACTGTACACCCATGCTTTGTGGCAATTACCAGAACCTTTGAATGGACAGCAACCACTGAGGAGGTACACTCATGAGTCTCCAGGATCACAATACTTTCCAAAGCTTGAATTAGATTCAACAGCTCCCCCCCCCTGCTCCCAAGACCAATGCTGATACAAACATAAACGTGAAAAATCGAACGCGCCGGTGTGCGATCAATCTAAGAAGCTTCTCGTTTGCACAACATCCAATCCCTGCAAGTCGGAAGGTCAAGTTTTACGAGGTCTTTTGCAAAAGACCAAGTTTTACGAGGTCCTCTGGTTTACTTGGTTTTATAGAGCTCAGCCCTTTTTCCCATCAATGCTGAATTTGACTTGAACCCCATTTGAAACTGTTGATGCATGATTGGGAAGCATTCAATCACCTACAGATCATAGCCCCGAATGGGCCTTTCCAAGTTGCAATGAACAGCCACTAAGGCTGACATTCCGGAGCATATGCAAAGCAAATTCGTGGCGTTTCCCCTCAAGAAATTATATATGTTTGGCAGAAATTTCCACACTGAAAAAATGGTTCCTAGGGTTTCACGCTCGGTTCACGCTCGGTTCACGCTCGGTTCACGGTCATAGTTGGTCTTTTGCCAGTCATAGTTGGTCTTTTGCCGGTCATAGTTGGTCTTTTGCCGGTCATAGTTGGTCCAGTTCACGCTCGGTTCACGCTCGGCTCACGCTAGCGATTCTGGGCCCCTGATAATTCAAAAACCATACGTTTGTGGTGGTTCCAGCCCTGGACTCCCAATGATAAAATAGTGTGGGGTACCCTATGATAAACCGCAAATAGGATATTTGGTCGGTGAAGGGATGTGGCTATCCTGAAATTTAGGTCAACAATTATGGGTTTATGCATCTTATATATTACTGTTGGACATCCATGGCCATCATCTTAACTTTGGACCCAAAAGGTCCAAGTAATAGTAGGTCCCCATCAAGTAATAGTAGGTCCTTTTCAGCAAAGTTAAAAGACCAAGTTTTACGAGGTCTTTGACCTGGAGGGAATATTAAAATTCCGGGGCAAGGGGATACACATAGAGTAAAGATGAAATCTAAAGCCAGCAGCCAGACTACTGACGCAGTAGTTGCTGAATGGCAATCTGCCTGTGAGACACATGGATTTGCCATGCTCTCTCAAACATTGAGGTCTGTGCTAACGCTTCCGGCAACATGAGCAAGCATCAACCCGCCCGGAAAAGACTCAAGAAAAGCACGCTGGCTGCCAGTACTCTAACATGCTGTGTTTTCATATGTACAAACCTCGAACAAACTCGGAATACACGTCCCATCGGACACTTTACAATGGCAGGAACACTTCAAGTGGCAAAGCTCTGGCATGCTGGTTTTTCATATGTACAAACCTCAAGCAAACCTTGTTCAAACCTCAAATCTATGGGGCCGGACGATGCCTTTTTTTTCCGTCCAACGCCTTCATGGCTTCCGCCAGGTCGTTACACACGTTCAATCGCAGCAAAAAGATGAATTGCAATTACCATGCAAGGCTGTCTACTTGTCGATAGCCACAAAAGCGCTGGTAGTGGACCTGTACACAGTCCAGTGAGCGGTCCCATCAAGAAAAAACCACAAACCAAAAACACAAGCAACCAAGCAAACAAAACACACAAAACCACAACCGAACCAAAACTATGGGGCCGGACGATTTTAAAGGAAAGTTCAATTAATTTCTTTTTTTGCGCGCGGCAACTGTAGGTTTCGTCCGCTGCCTAGAATTGAGGTTTGATTGGGGTTTGTACATATGAAAACACAGCAGATCGAAGGTGTGGTCATGGCATGGCTTTCTCCAATAGAATGCGCAGCACAGAGATGTTTTCAAAGTATGCCTGGAGTTTGTACATATGAAAACACAGCACATCGAAGGTGTCACCAAAAAAGTGCTCATTCCTCAGTGAAATGAGCGCGCAGACAGTAACAAGGTTTGTTTGGGGTTTGTACACATGAAAATACAGCAGAAGGAAGAGGAACAAAGCATTGCAAACAAAAACGACAGGTAAAGAACAGATGATCAAGACGTACGGGGAGCGATCTGCATGCAGATCCGCCTGCCTGGATTTTCGCGGTGCAAGCATGCAACTCCAACTACATAACCTGAAAGCAAATCCAAATCATTGACACGCTTGTCGCCAAATCTCGTAAAGCCCATGATGCCATGCCACAGCATGACACTGTCAAGACACCAAAACAAGCTTCTCCAAACCCCAGCAACTTTGGAGACACTTGGAAGTACCTCTGCAGTTCCGCTGCATCGTCTTGAAGCCTAGAAGGCAGCATGTGTCAACTCATGGATACACCATCATGGAGCAGCCTGTGGCAAGGATTTGTTTCAGAGCGAAGCTGCCGGAGTCATGCTTGTAGAACCACAGCAGAGCAGCAACAACTCACTCTGCTCGCATCCTCGCGTCCAACACAAGTCAATTGGGAATTACCTGCCACAAACGCCAAATTAAAGGACCGGATAACCCCACATTTTACCAACTTCTTTAGACTTAGACTGAGCAGAGAAAGTATGAGAGTGATGGAGGGACGATGGTGGTATGTATGTAGGTATGTATGTAGGTAGGTAGGTGACTTTGTGTGTGTGTATGTATGTTCAAGTACAGTGAGTGAGTGAGGGAGTGAGTAGAGGGATTGAGTAAGTGAATGAGTGAGTGAGTGAGTGAGTGAGTGCTTCCGTGCGTGAGTGAGTGCGTGAGTGCGTGAGTGCGTGAGTGCTGAGTGAGTGCGTGAGTGAGTGAGTGCGTGAGTGAGTGAGTGAATGAGTGAGTGAGTGAGTGAATGAGTGAGTGAGTGCGTGCATGAGTGAGTGAGTGAATGAGTGATTGAGTGAGTGAGTGAGTGCTGCAGGGTTGCTTATTCCTCAGGATTTGTTGAATGATATCTTACCAACATTTTCCTCAAATTGATAGACATGTTTGAGACTAAAGACTTGGTATGATTTTCCGCCATGCCCTTGTTCCTTTGCCGTGCCCTTTTGTCAGGTGTAGGAAGAACTTTTGTTGACGAAAAGCCATGCCCCAAACTAAAAGCGTGATTAAGGGTAAGTCCACTGTGCAAGAAAATGCACTGTCATGTTTTGTTCTTCGTAGGGTTCAGAACTTTTAGGGAGAAGATTGCAGGGTTGTTCATTCCTCAGGATTTGTTGAATGATATCTTCCCAACATCTTCCTCAATTTGATAGAGAGGATTTAGACTAAATGCTTTGTATGATTTTCTGCCATGCCCTTGTTCCTTTGCTATGCCCTTTTGCCTGTTCCCACCTCAACATCTCACCTTGTGAACGATACAGCAAGTGTTGAACAAGCAGCCTTGTCATCCCTATATGTGTTCCTTTCATGTGTTGCTTTGCGCGGTTCGTGTGCTAAAACCGGTGTGGATTGGTCATGTTGATAAAGGTAGGGTTGTGTTCTATCATTTCTTCCACTCAAGCGTCAAGGCCTTGTTATTTGCAAGAGCCACTGCCACAGTTTATGCATTTGTTCCTTTACGAAGTTCCTTTGATTAGCGTTTGGTTCAGATACAAGTGATTTGTTCACTCGCCCAGCTCCTGTTTGAAATTGCAGGACGGTGGAACATTCAAGGAGATTGGCAACGCTTTCCAAGTCAAGGGAGAGTTGGCGAACGTAATGACCTTAACTTGGCTATGCCCTCCTTGCTGGCTTGTCATGCTTCACGTAACCTAACAGCGTTTCCGATGTAGTCGGCTCAGCCACTCCATCATGTGTGCAAGGTTTACTTACCAAGTGTTTTTGAATGTTTCTTCCAAGTTGCCGCAGTCGACGGCTCGGTATTGATTGCTTCGGTTTGAGGTTGATGACCTCAAAGAAGCCCAGTGCTTAGAGACCTCGTTCGAGTGCGCCCCTTCCTCAGACCGGACCGGTATTTGCTTCAGGCAATCGAAAAGACGGAGAAACTGTCCATTGCAAAGTCCAAGATTGACATCTATAGCCTCAAGGAGAATTAGCGTCCATTTTCCTTCACAACACCTGACCCAACCCCTTTCACACCAGCGTCTCAAATTGCCTTTGCGTCTCTATATGTTCCTTTCATGTGTTCCTTTTTGTGGTTCTTGTGCTAAAAGCCAGTGTTAATTGGTCATGTTAACACAGGTAGGGTTGTGTTCCATCATTTCTCCCACTCGAGCATCAAAGGCTTTGCAATTTGCAAAAGTCAATGGAACAGTTTATGCCTTTGTCCCTTTTCGTTTTGACTAGTGTTAGGTTAAGATTTAAGTGGTTTGTTCAGCCAAAACTTTATCAAGAGATTTCCTTCAGCCATGCGTTCATGTCTTCCTCGCCAGTCAAGAGATTGGTTGCGGGCAAGCGGCTTGTGCAACACGGGTTTGGGTTTGAATGTCTTGGCTGTTGACCTTGCAGGACGGCAAAGGTGGCTTCGAGTTCGTTGGCAATCCCTTCAAAATCATTGGAGCAGTTGGTGACGTTGATGATCTGAAAAAAGTGCTGACCTCAAACTGAATTTTGTTCATTTTGCTTTGGAACATTTTCAGAAGAGACGTGACAAAGATTGAGCACAGCAAACATTTTTGCAATCTGTGCTGTGAGTTCATGGTTTGCATTCATGTCCAATACTGTGCCCTAACGTTCAAACTTGGTGCTTTGACTAAACCAATTTAGCGTTTGGGTTTGCTTCCAATGCGCGAGGCAATCAAGAAGGAGAAACCCAACAAGGTGTCGTGCGATGCAGATGAGCTGGACATCTACAGCCTGCAGGACAGCTTGGCTGTTTTCTTCCAGTATCCACCGCGCTATCTAACCTGACCTTTCGAAACAGTGCTTCAAGTTGTCGTTTGAGTATTGTGGTATGCCAGTTTGCTCATCGTGGATTTGCAGGATGGAAATTGGACTAGGGAAGAAAAGATGTCGGCAAGCCTTCGCGACACGGATGAGCCCATCACTTGGTGTTTCGTTTTGAACAACTTTTGACAATGCTTCGGTTCAGATTGATGTCATTGTTTGCAACTTTTTGTTGTATTTTTGTTGCCGCCTCTGAGCATTTAGGTCAGACTGCTATGGTTTCACGATGCCATCAGCGTGAGTGTGAGTCTCAGCTTTCTTGGCAACCTGCAGTGGCTTGACGGTAATGGAGTTCCGTGGTCACAGTGACAAATTTTGGCTCTCATGAGGGTCTGTTTGTTGCTCTGTCGGCTGAGGCTGTCGAAATCCAATGAGAGCACGAATGTGGGAGTGTATGTAGTCTATTAAAGTTTCACTTCGTATCACAAAATCAAGACAGTTGGTTCGTTGTGGTATGACCTTGCGTCAATGATAGAGTATGCGTTGCACGTGGACAACTCCAACTTGGACTGAAGGGTTGACTTTTCCTGACAATCAGGTCATGCACGCAACGGGCGCAGGCTAAGCCGTCACTGTGTAAGGCATGATGCTAAGGAGAGAACGCTCTCCGGGCAATGGTAAATTTGGTAAATCGGTAAATTGGTAAATTTCGCCGCTCTCCGGGCAATGGTAAATTTAGTAAATCGGTAAATTGGTAAATTTCGCCGCTCGTCGGGCCAGGGTAAATTGTGGGTAAATCGGTAAAGTGGTAAAATTTCGATACGTCCGGGCGAGGTAAATTCGGTAAATTCGGTAAATTCGGTAAATCGGTAAAATGCTACGACTTTACGAATAAACCGTTTTAAGGTTTACCGCCTCTGGATCCACGACTTTACGAATTTACCGTTTTACGGTTTTACCGGTAAATCGGTAAAATGCTGCGACTTTACGAATTTAGCGTTTTACGGTTTTACCGCCTCTGGCTCCACAACTTTACGAATTTACTGTTTTACGGTTTTACCGCCTCTGGCTCCACAACTTTACGAATTTACCGTTTCACGGTTTTACCGCCTCTGGCTCCACAACTTTAGGAATTTGCCGTTTTACGGTTTTACCGCCTCTGGCTCCACAACTTTACGAATTTACCGTTTTACGGTTTTACCGCCTCTGGCTCCTCACGCTCAACTACATTGATGCATGACGCCTGTACGAATTTACCATTTTACGGCTTTACCGTCTTCTCCTGTTCACGCTGTTCACGAAAAAAACATCAATTTACCACTTTACGGTTTTACTTGGGTTTCCTTCGCTTTCACCTCCTTCACGGTTCACACCTCCTCTACAGTTTTACGCTTTTACGGCTTTACTACCTCATCATCATCATCATCATCATCATCATCATGATCATGAGGTTCCAGATTCAACTGCTGTGAGAGGACTGGCTCAAACCAAAAAAACGACCCAAGAAGACTGGCAAGCTTTATTCATCCAGTGGCCTGTCATATTTCCTGGTCTGGAATCCAACCAAAGACACTACGATGCCGTCGGAGCTTCTGTGCGGTTGTTTAATGTTTGAACTTGTTTAGCAACCAGAAGCAAACTAACATAGCTACAAGTACTGCCAACGACCAGCATCAGAACCAGTTTGCAACAATCCCTCGGTTGACAGCCATGCCCCGTGGAATACTGGAAGAAACTATTTGTTTGGTCCTCGAGGGAAGTTGGCTAAAAATATTGAAGGCAAGGACGTGTTCCTTCACTTCCCCAGTGTATGCCCCCATCAACACGGATTCATTGCATATCCAGCCAGATAGTGTTTTCTGTGCAGAGCTTGTTCGACCGGTCAGGGGTATGGTACCTGAATGATCGCCGATCTGGCTTATCATCCTAGAGTATACATCTGTACATCCGTACATACATCCGTACAGACATAAATATCGACATCATTGACATTTGTTTTTTTCATGGTTGGTCCAGAAATGGTGTACTGTATCCCCCATTAGCATTCATTAAAATCATTGGCTATGGCATATGATAGCTACATATAGAAGTTGATGATCAACCGATCAAGGTCATCATCCTGGTGGATTCTCGCGCAAAGAAGAGTTGCAGGCGCCGGCGCGCTTAGGAAATGCTTCGGACATGCGAAATGGCAATGGGAACAGTTTCAAAAGAGAACCAGTTGGTTGAGGATTATAAAGGGTTTTACTAGTCAATATGCTGGATATGATTCTAATATATATATATATATATTGATCCATTGTGGAGTTCCCCCTTAACCAACCATTATGTGGTATTTCCTAATGAGTTTGCGATACTGCTCAACTAAGAGATTGTACCAGAAAGTGTTTGGGCACTCGATGCTCGGGATTTTGGAGGACTACATCATTGAAGATTGCAATCCTGTAAGCTTATAAGAATCTCATAGCCACAGACTGAGGTATGAAAAAAAATTATTTTTATCATTTTTTATCCCAAGATCTTCAAACAAAACATCATATAAATCATCCTCTCTTTTATCATCTGAAATGGTTATCTTTTTGATTATCTTTTGTTTCTTCCTCTAACCAGCCTCTCTTTTAACATTTGACAGGGTTATTTTGTTGATTTTTTTCTTTGTATGGATTGTCAAAGGTTTTTATCCTCTGTGTTTCTATCACGTCGTCTTTTCTTTTCTTGACTTTCTTTGCTACTGCACTTCCTCTCCTGTCTTCTCCACTTGATCTTACCCTTTAAGTGTCGTTTCTTTGATGTGGGCTATATATACGTATAGATATAGATATAGATATATATATATATATCATAATGAAATCTATTAAACCATATCAAACCATCAACTGGCTTTATTTGCCTGCGCTTACTGTCCCAGGTCATGGATGGCTGTAGAGGAGTGTCAATTTGGGGATCGCTCGACGCAAAGTAGCTATGCGTTTTGTTTTTGTGTTTGTCCCCTTGCTAAAACTTAATTTGTCTTAATTTACTGTAAAGTTTTCATTGTTTTTTACGAAAGAGTTGGAACAGTGCTCACATGTGGCATGGCAGTCATGGAAGCAAGGATGACACGCACAAAACGAGACGTGAGTGTAGGAATCCATTCCAGTTCACATGGACATGAAATCATGTCTGACTTTGCATCGCCAGGCCCTTTAGGCACAAAACAGCGCGCGTTACGGCTGTTGTTTCACATGGTAGCGGAGCTGAAGACCGGCTCACGCCAATCCATTTGATCCTACCTTTTGGGAGCTGCTGGAACTGGACAGGTCCAAATACAATTGCAATACTGGCTTTGGGACTTCATACTGGGGATTTTGCGATCCAATACAGGTGTCTCTGAACAGGTGCGTTGGTGGATCTATATACATTTCTGGCTGCAAACGTGAGAGAAACAATTTGGTTGCCACGTGATTTTCTTTGAGGTGAAATTTCAGTGAGTGGAATTTTCATTTGTGCTCAGTGCTGGAAGTAGATGGCGACTGCGCCTGATGGGAGCGCGGTGGCACAAGCTGCAGGAGATGGATCTCCACCAGCAGGTGGTTTCATGGATGTGAACGTTGCAATGCGTATGGTTGCAGCGGCAGAAGCGGCAGCTGAAGCTGCAAGGGCAGCTACCAATCTGGCTTCAAGGAGCACTTCAGAGGATCAGGGAAAATCTTGGTGGAAATTACTTCCACGGCCTCCAGTATTTGACCACTCCTCAAGGGAGTCAGAGATAGCAGGTTGGAAAGAATGGAGTTGGATGTTTGAACAATATGTTACATCTGTTGATACGAGATTTTCAGATGACGTCCAGCAGATACGGTCCAACTTGAACACAATGGTGGATCCAGTGGATTTTTCAGACAGTGAGAAGCAAAGGAATAGCTTTTTCTACAGCTTATTGTCTTCACTTTTACGGCAGAGACCATTGCTGGTTGTTCGACAGGTTTCTGGCTCAAATGGCTTCGAGGCCTACAGGTTGCTGATTCAACAAAACGAACCTCTGTCAAAGAACCGCAGTATGGGCTTGTTGAACGTGATCATGAACTGGCCTACGTTTTCAGGTAAGATGTCATACATGCAGCAGATCCTAAAGCTGGAACATGCCTATGCAGAGTATGAGAAGTTGGGTACAAGGTTGAATGACGATCTGAAAACAGCTGTGTTGATGCGCAGCATTACAGGTCAGCTCAAAACATGGTTGCAACTGCAGGTGTCAGAGACAACAACCTATGCAAAAGTGAGAGAGATGATAATGGCTTACGATGCTTCTACGACGAGATGGTCTGAACAGATGGTGCTGGGGATTGACAACAGTTCTCCAGGTACAGATGGCCCGGTCCCCATGGAGATCGATCGCATTGAGGGAAAGGGCAAAGGAAAACACCATGGCAAGGGCAAGTCCAAGGACAAAGGCTCTTCAAAGGGCAAAGCTGGAGGAAAACAGAAGGGAAAAGATGGAAAAGGCAAGAGTCAGAAAGGTGACCAAAAGGGATCAAAGGGAGGAGGAGCTGGAAAACAATCCAAGGGCAAAGGAAAAGGAGAGAAACAATGTTATGTTTGTGGCCATACAGGACACTATGCACGGGATTGCTGGCAACAGGTTCGAAATGTTTCCACAGATGGTGGACAAGGATCTACGGTGCAGGGATCTCCTGCGTCATCAGCAGGTGGCATGTCGAGCGTGTCACACTCTCAGCCTGTGTCTCAGCCAAGCAATTCTGCCCAGGCTACCCAACATCGTGTTGCAAGAATCTTGGGAACTGGTGATGATGTTAAGCATGATGAACTGGTTTTCGACCTACGTAGTTCAGGGTCTTCACATTTCAGTGGCAATGTCAACGCTTTGCACTACTTCATTGGTGATGACGATGATTTTCAAAGCATGGGACATGTCAGAGCAGTCATTGATGAGATGAGTGACAGCGGTGAAGAGATGTTCAACATTTTGTTGGATTCAGGAGCTGATGCATCTATTTTCCCTGTGACCTTGCTTGGAAAAGGTAGACCGACAGAAGGTGTTGTTGGGAAGTTGCATGATGCGCAGGGAGCTGAGATACCAATAGATGCTGTCCAAGACATGGAAATCAGGTTGAAGGATGTGAGTGGAAGCACAGTGATTTTGCGTGAAAGGGTTGCGGTTTCAAAGCATGTTAGCCAACCAATTCTGAGCTTTGGTCGTCTTCTCGAAGGAGGCTGGTCAATTGATGGATGTCAACAAGCGCTCACCCACCATGCAGGGGCCAACATTCCAGTGGAGTTGCAAAACAAATCTCTGATGGTGCAAGGAACAATACGTGTTTTGCGTGAGTCATGTGATGTTGTTGACATGCATGTCAGGGCAATTCAAGCTGATGTCATGGAACATGTTGTTGAAGGACGTGTTGGATGGGACTTAGATGCCTATGGTCAAGGACTTGGAAGGCACTTCGACAACAAGTACCAGGACCCCAGTCTGGTAAAGCCTGATTTGCCTGGACGTTTCTGCAGAACCACGCTGATTGAGGGCGATGACAAGAAATGGTATGTTGTTGAATTGTGTGAGAGACTGGATGGTTTGATTCAGTATGATGCAGAGTTCGATGAGATGAGTGGCAAGCGCAACATTATTACCATTTTGACTGATGGTGAGAAAGATCCTCTGGTGATGGGATTCAAATTGATGGATGCAGAGCCCCAAGCGTTTCCAGTGCAAGCTGATGAAGGTGATGTGGAGATCTCAGAGGAGATTGAACCGGCTGATGAAGTTGTAGGTGTTGAGATTCCAGAGGGACAGATTACAGTTCAGCAGTCTTCAGAAGAAGAAATCAATGTCAATGGAACTGTGTTGAAACCTGACAGTGGGCTTGCAGCACTGAGGGCAGGTTGTGCGTTCTATGGTCTTTCGAGCTCAGGTTCCAAACAACGTTGCTTTCAGAGGATGCTGGATCATCAAAAGAAATTGGAACTTGACATGGTGCTTGCTGCTTCACAGGATGCCTTGCAACAACTTGGTAGGCAGCCACGTGGACCGCCATCTGCAGAGGTCCCTTCAGAAGCAGAGCAAGCAGCTCATCGACTGACCCATATGCCTTTTGCAAGTTGGTGCCCCAGTTGCATTGCGCACAGAAGCAGGCCAGACAGGCATGAAAGAACAGGTGAATCACATGCCAACGCAGTACCCACGATCAGTTTTGATTTCTTTTACACAAAAGCAGATGGAGAAGCGCCTGGTGAAGATGCTCCAGATACAATTTTGGCGCTCATCATGGTGTGCAGTCAAACCTCATATGTTGCATGCGTGCCTTTGCAAGGGAAGTCCCAGTTGGATTTGATGAACAGGGAACTGGTGCAGTTTGCACAGAGGCTGGGACATGGAGAAGTGATTTTCAGATGTGACAATGAGCCTGCAATTCTTCAACTGCAAAGGTTAGCAACCAAAACGAGACAAGCAATGGGATTGAAAACCAGAATGACGAGCTCAGTGGCCTATGACCATGGGAATGCCCTAGCTGAGAACGCAATTTCACGTGTGAGGTCTCTTGCGTGCTCACTGATGCATCATCTTCATGGACGATTGGGCATTCAGCTTTCAACAACAAGCGCGTTGTGGTCTTGGGCACTCAGACATGCTGCATTTCTGGTGAGTAGATTTTCAGTGATCAATGGAGCCACCCCATATGAGCTTGCGTATGGAAGACAATTTACTGGCACTTTGTGTGAATATGGTGAACCGGTTTTTGCTTTCATCCACCCTGGGACAAAAGCTACACCCAAGTGGAGACGTGCACTCTTTCTGGGCAAGTCAGAGGACCAAAACAGTTTTGTGTTGTTTGATGGGCAAGCAGTGGTGTTGTCAAAGAACGTCAGAAGGATTCAAACGACATGGAGAAGCCACATGGCTTACTATCTTCACTGCAAGTGCTACTCATGGCAATACAAATCTGGCTTTGGAGCAAGGGTGTTACCAACCATGAAAAAGGCGGTACCAAAAGCCGTCAGCTTTGAGGTTCCCATTGGACCTGTGGAAGGAAGCAAACTTCATGATGAAGAAGCTGAAGCAGTGATCAAGTATGCTGAGCAGGAAAAACGTGCTGAAGAAGAACAGTTTGCGATGGGCAAGAATGACCCCTTGGCTTTGCAGTTTCAACAACAGC